GAGAATTCTTTTACTTAAAGAATGTTTTGATTATTGATGAGTGTGTCAAAATCGGTGCTTACTGCAGAATGGATGAGTATCTGAATCTGGATTTTTTAATCAGTTGGAGCGAAGAGGCAAAAAGAGCGTTATTGAGTGGTGTATGGAGAAAAGTTTGATTGCAATATCGTATAGTAAGTGCCCAATTTGTGGAACAAATATGAAACTAGTAGATAGACGGTTTTGAGACGTATAGACGATTTTGAGTGGTGCGCAATGCCGAGTTTGTGCAACTCTGAGATGTTTTTTTAAGTGAAAATTGATCGATGTGCACATGGGCAAAGCCAATGTGGTGCGCAATGCCGAGTTTGTGCAATTCTGGGATTTTTTTAAGTGAAAATAGATCGATGTGCACATGGGCAAAGCCAATGTGGTGCGCAATGCCGAGGTTGTGCGCGATGCCGAGTTTGTGCAATTCTGGGATGTTTTTTTAAGTGAAAATAGATCGATGTGCACATGGGCAAAGCCAATGTGGTGCGCAATGCCGAGGTTGTGCGCGATGCCGAGTTTGTGCAATTCTGGATGTTTTTTTAAGTGAAAATAGATCGATGTGCACATGGGCAAAGCCAATGTGGTGCGCGATGCCGAGTTTGTGCAATTCTGGGATTTTTTAAGTGAAAAATAGATCGATGTGCACATGGGCAAAGCCAGTGTGGTGCGCAATGCCGAGTTTGTGCAATTCTGGGATTTTTTTTAAGTGAAAATAGATCGATGTGTACATGGGCAAAGCCAATGTGGTGGTTTTTGCTGCAATGATTGATTTTGGTTGTTTAGATGTCAATGTGATTGGTTGTGCACATGGCAAAGCCAATGTGGTGCGCAATGCCGAGTTTGTGCAATTCTGGGATATTTTTTTAAGTGAAAATAGATCGATGTGCACATGGGCAAAGCCAATGTGGTGCGCAATGCCGAGTTTGAGCAATTCTCTGATTTTTCTTTAAGTGAAAATAGATGGATGAGCACATGGACACCGAGTTTGTGGAATTCTTTGATGTTTTTCGAGCGAATACTGATCGTTGTGTAAAGAGAAAACGAGGTTGTGTGTGATGCCGAGCAGTAATGTAACTTTATTTATGTGCAATGTTTAACATATCGTTTGTGTATTTTAAATTTGTATTGTTGTTTTAATTGTGAATTATATTTAAGACGTCATTTTTCATTTAAATTGTATTTTTAATTTTTTGGCTTTGATATGTTTATAACGCTTTCCGACTTACGATATATATCGATAGCCCGACGATCTACTCAACAGTAGCAAAACTGTAAACTTTAACTCTTGAAGTAACGTTTACCTCATATTTTAATACGTAGTGTTTGGTATCGTAATTGCACTTGATAATATGTGTGTTTGTGTGCGTATGTGAAGCATTGCTTAGTGTTCCAAGTTTGTAGTATTTATTTTATTATATTATTTTCTTTCATTCTGAGAAATTAGATTTTTTTATTTATTAATGCGTAGAATTCTAGCATGCCTACACAGAATATGGCGTGATTTAGGAATTTTAGAAACTGATATGAAAGCTGTGTAATGATGTTCATATGCAATAAAAAATATTCTTTTTTTATTAATGTAAAGTTTAAAATTTTTAGAAATAATGAAAATTGTCTAATTATTGGTATGTAAGGAATTATGTCGTTACGTAGCAAGAAGGTAATTTGTAAAAATGATAAAATTGAAATGTTCCACAATATGAATTTAAATTTTAAAAAAATATTTTTTGTATAAATAAAAAAAATTAATAAAAATAATAAATAAAATAATTTAATAAAAATCTTTGAAAATATTGAAGCTCTACAAGTATTAGAGACTGCGACGTTGTTTATCGTTTTAATAATTGGTAGAATTCGCTCACTGTATCATGGTAATTTTAAATATAAACAATTTATTATACTTATTATCAGTAACGCCTAAGTTTAAATGTTATAAATGTAAATTAAAAGTAAAGAATTTGATATTAATTTACAATAATAAACAATTTATTATTGTTATTTTTAAGAGAAAATAGAAAGTACACGTAGCGTAAATGCGAGACTACTACATGGAGACTACATTGTGACGTCATAAGCTAAGTCCCACCCATTAATGGACGTTACACAGCTCCTCCTACTGAACTTTGTTGATGCAGCCTATTCTGCGCTTTTACCCAGTAAAATTATGCAATACATAACGAATGCTTTCAGACATATACTAATACTATTTACAGTGCAAGCCAAAGTTCTGTTATGTTACTTCGCCTGCGCATGCTCAGAATACATCAGGGAACTAGTCGATTTGTCCATGCGTCAAAAATTCGAAAGTGGGGTAGGGTTTGACACGGAGTACTAAGGTTGTGAAACTGCCTATAGAAAACGGTCCTAAAATTCGCTCAGAGAAACGCTGTTGTTCCTCTATAGTTCAAATGTAAACAGTTATCGAGTAGCCACGGGCGAAGCTACTACCGAATGAAAAATGTTTAGTTTTAATGGCATGGATTGCGTTATTATCAACGTTATAATATTATGCCACTAATGATTGATTTTTTCCTCAAATTATAAAATAATTTAAGCTTCCTGGTAAGGCTGTAGTACTTTTATGAATGATTATTTTCATCCTCCCCTCGAAAAATAATCAAGTATTAGTAATAATACTGCTGTATATTGTTAAATTTAAGTAGAATAGTTCTTCGGTTCTCATTTGTAAAATGTTAGATACACAGCTTGATATACACTGGCGAAATTTAATGAAGCTATGAATTTTTGTTCAGTCAGTAAGTTTCTGTACTATCAAATAAGTTATTCTTTTTTAGATCAGTTAATTTTTAGTCGTTTGATTTTGATATTTTATCGTTTTCTGTTAAAATTTCCAATCTTTGTTATTTGAGAAGTAGGTTTCAATGATTTCAAAAGATTTTAAATAGAATCGGATTTGAATTCAGTTAAGTATTCTGAACCTTGGTTATGCTGAGTATATTCATAATTAAATATAAGAGTAAAAAATATTGTAATTCAATATTTCTTAATTTTGTCTGCTTGAACTAACTTCTAACCAATAAATGAAGTATTTTAACTAAAAATATAATGCAGATGTTTTTTTTAAAAGTACATTCCCTTTTTTCAAAGGAGGAAATTCCTCCCATTCAATAGTCTAAAAGATGAATTTCTAGGTTCAGAAATTTTTCACAGTTATAATGTTATGTATTTTCTCGCTGTAAGTTCAGATGGTACATGTAGTTTTTTGAAAAAAAAGCTGCTGTGTTATGTTTACTGCCCTATTTTTATTTTATTTTTGAACGATCATTTACAATAGGTCTAATTACATTGTTGCAAAACTACCAGTTTAATACAGAGTACCTAATGTATGCTTGCTGCGGTATTTAAAAATATCATTAATATATAAAACTAAAGTCTGTTTTTCTTGCAGTAATTATTATTTTTTTTTATCTCAATTTAATATCTCTTTTTCAATGATAATGCTGGCAGGAAGAAACAAGTCAATAATACAAAAATTTTTAAAAATTTAATAGTATGTATAATCCCAAAAACATCTTAGCAGTTTGTTTATATTATTAAAAATGGGAGTAAGGAGGATAGAGTGATCGTTAAATTTGTGTTCTTGCAAGCACCTTGTCTTTCCCACCAGCAGTTGAGCAGCAAAGTACAAATATCTGGTTGGTCCTGGTCGAATCCCGCCAAGAGGCTAGCTGAATGGGCATTTCGGTCTTTCACATGAACATAAAAAGTACATGTGTTCCTTTCCTCCAAAGGATATATATGAAGACATTGAACTGTTGGCCATGGTTAAACTATATATTATTCACGTTACATACAATAGTGTTTCCCCCCCCCAAAAAAAAATTAAGTGTTGTTAATAAGTTTTCAAAGTAAATCATTCTATCCCATTTCAAAGCCTAAAAGATGAATTCTATGTTAAGAAAATTTATCAGTATATATATGATATTTCCGCTGGTATTTCAAAGTGGTAATGTAGATTTTCAAAAAAAGGTTTTCATGGTTTGTTTACTGGAAAAGATCCCATATTTTTTAGTTTCATTGTTGAACTGATCATTTACTAATAGAGTCTAATTACATTTGTTGCAAAATACCAGTTTAATATAGATACCTAAGTATGCGTGCTGCGGTATTAAAAACATCATTAATATAAAATAAAGGTGTTTCTCTTGCGTCTTATTTTTTTTTTTAGTCTTAATTATTCTCTTTTCACGATTAAAGACTCGCATGAAAGAAACAAGTTCAATTAATAATAAAAAGGAACAGTAATTATATACTAATCCCGAAACAACGTAGCGTATGTTTTATATGTTAACACAAGGGTGCGCTATAGGAAGGTGTGTGGGTTAGAGAATACTTCTCTCACACACTGATTCACACAATCAAGCACACAAAAGGACACATAAAATTAATTTTGAAAATTAAATATTGCATAACTGTAATAATGTTTAGATAGTAAAGAAATGAGTGAAAAAAAAGAATTAAGCGTACTGAGTGTGGGAGATCTTTTAGGAGTCAACAAAGGCAACTGATGTGAATTCATAAAGGCTGAGAAAATCATGTCAGTGCCACAAAAAACATAATTTACAGCATTTTTAGAAGAAAAAGTTTCGAAAACTATGCGGAATGTAACCTTAGATTTCACATAATATTCATTAAATGAATGTCTAAATGGCTTTTCAGTATTCAGTTATATTTGCTTATTCCAACATCCAGAGGCATGCTCATAACTAGTTTTAGTTGTGTAAAATCACACAAATAATATGATTTTTCCACAGAATGGCTTGGATCGGATTAACATATTAAAGGTAAGAAAATTTTCCAAAATGCAGATATTAGGAGAATAACCAGTAGGATGAACAGTACCATATAAATATTTTGAGGATAAGCAATTGCATTTTCAATGGAATACTTCCATGAAGTATAAGCAAAGAGCTCTGATGAGGTATTAACATGTTATTCTACTCAGGCTCTGAGAATACAGTGAGATAATTAATATCCAAGCATTTGGTAATCGATTCAAACACCAGTGAAGGATATTGTGTCTAAATCAAGATCATTTCTGGTCTTCCAGGTACATATATTGTAATAAATAATCCGTGGTTTGGAAATACGCCTCGCGGGGTCCAGCTTCTCGTGTGAAAGTGAAAGTATGAGCGCAGCAGTGAAAGTGAAAGTGAAAGTCAGTTTATGTCTAATGATAGAAATTATCACCTTATTGTTTTGACTCATTCCACAACCTGACCGCATCGACCACTATGATCTGATCCTCATCAATCTACCCTTAAAAGCCGTCCAGGAAAGATAGATAGCTTCTGCATGCTTTGGCGTAATCAAATAAACCAAACCAAACTCCATCCATCTGAAAATGTGTGGAATGAAAATTTTTTAATTGTGAATTTGGTTTATGAAAATCGCGATGTATAACGTTGATAGAAGAATTAATACTTCTTATGACTATAAAATTGCCAGAGAATTTATGTAACTGACTACATTACCATACAAGTAAATGAAGTTCTGCCTTTTTTTTTTTTTTAATAGTTCTTGTGAACAAGTGACCCATATTGTTCATAAAATCATTAGCCAAAAGTACAGAACTGCTGTTTCTGGCAGAAGATGGCTTCAAGCATAAAGGATTTGGGTTTTCGCATGGAACAAGAACTGACCCAAGAAATTACTGTTTTGAATTTCAGTACCTATGATGTTGGACAGTGTGATATCTTACGTCTGAACCATGATGCTTTGGGAATGACTGTTTTCACTGAGAAAATTTTCCCAAATGGTAACAATTTTCTAAATGAAGGATATGTTTCTATTGAAATTTCAAACATTCCTCAGAATGTCATTCTCAAATGTGTTGCATCAGTGATAGACATTGAAGGTAATTCTAGGTATATCCAGTCTTTTACAAATGAAACTTCAGACACTGTTATTGGGCTGGAGAGATTTGTCAATAGAAATACTTTATTGACTAATCATTTAGAATATCTACCAGATGATAAACTCACTATACAGTTAGAAATCAGTAGTATCATAGCTTCAGAGGAGGGAGTAATAATAGATAAACCATCAGAGAATGCATGTAAAATTGAGATAAAGGATTCAAATCATGAAATAGAAACTTTCAATTTTCAAATAGAAACAAAAGATGGTAAAAGTGAGTCTTTAATTCTCAAAAAAGGAGCATGGTTTATGAGAAATCCTCTTTGTAAAAAATCACCTGTTTTTGCCAAATTGTTGTCAGCTGCTATGCAGGAGAAAGAAAGAAATAAAGTTACTATTACTGATATGGATCATAATACTTTAAAGAATTTTCTTAGTTTTGTGCATAGTGATTCAATGATATTTGAGAATGTCCAAGATATTGTAGATCTTTATGAAGCTGCAGATAAATATGAAGTCTTAGACCTGAAATATGAGTGTGCACGAGATTTAATACGTAATCTAAGACCAGAAAATGTTTGCAATGCTTTGCTTTTAGCAGATATGCATAGTGACAGGGCGTTAAAATATACTAGTATGTTTTATATTCAAGAGTTCTTGGATGAAGTTTCTGAAACTGAATCTTGGAAATTGTTAATGGAAAACTTTCCAGGATTAGCAGACGAAACAATGAATTTCAGCCACTCAGAAATTAAAGAAAAGTTGAGTGAAGAACACAAAACAAAAGATCAGCCATCATGTTCTAAAACAACAGATTCCAATGAGGTATTCCAGTTTTACAGCTGAAAACTAAGTTAGAAACTGTGCTTGAGTTCACATTTTCTGTGAAGAGAGTCAAAAAGCTTTATTTTGTTAAATGGTGATTTTCATGTAATTAAGAAAGTTTGTTTTGCTTATAATAATCATACAGAGTGCCAAATATTAGATGCAACTGTGCCTTTAGGTTTTTGGCCATAATTATTTTGACCTAGGGAAGTAGTTGTGGTCAAATAACAAATATGTGATGAAACAGTTATGGCTTTTGGCAATTATATTTCAGAGAAATTTGTATACACCTTATCATTATGTACATTATTTATCACCATTTATCTATGAGCAGATTATAGGATCTAGAAGATATATTACATCCAAAATGGTGAATGTTTATAGATTTTCAGATAAAAATAAGAGCATACTGAAAATATGTTGTTTCCAACCAGCAGCAATAGGTGAAAACAACAGATAATCGGGTGTAGTGCATGAACAAGACACCTAGCACTAAAAAGAAGAGGGATACATGAAACTGCTTGCCATCATTCGAAGTGCTATATATATAACACATGAGGAAATTTGGTTGTTGTGAACTGACTCGGATAACAATGTTGAGGCTGTGACATCTGGTAATAGAACAAAGTATATCGTCATTGGACTGTAGGTGACTAACAGCCTATAGCCTAATTAAATGTAGGATAGTAGACCATAGGGTTACTTGAATCATAAACCATAGGATAACTTTACTGGGTTACTTATGTGGCACTCGTATTCATGTATGGGAGAAACTGCTTGAAGATGTATATACATTTTGTTAGACCTTTTACAGACTTATTTTACAAAACAAACTGTATTGTCAGGTGTTACTTACTGTTATAGAATAGCTGTATTGCCAGCTGAAAAGTGTTCTGTTGGAATCCACATGGCTTTCCAGTGCAACTAATAATAGGATCCACATGCACAGATTTTGTTGTATGTGCTCTGTTGCAGTTCAAATGGCTTACTTGCATAATTAGTCTTCCTTGGTAGGGTCCATGTACAGAGATCTTGTTGCATGTGATTTACATTCCTTTATGGATGATAACAATAATAGATTGTTTCTGGCAGTAGGATAATGCAACCCTCCATCATGTGTAGGTGACACACAAAGTTGAGTTTTTGAATCTTTGAATCTTTGAATAACTACCAGATACTATGCTGGCTCCGAAACTCAACAGATTTATTTAAATGTTAGTTTACCACTTATGGTATTGCATGCACATTGCTCTAAATGCATTCAGAAACATTAAAGATATATAGAGCTGTATTTTGGACAGACATAAAATGTAAAATATATTTTTACCATTACTTCAGTGTCTTGTTAATGCAATATCACTTTGTATAGCCTAATATTCAACTATATGTTATGATTAAGTTAAGTATTTAGCCTTTCAATGTTATATGGATAACTGAAGCTTTTTTTAAAAAAAATCTGATCAACTTTTCTAGTTTGAAATGACTTGTTAACCATGCTATCAAAAAACAAATTTTTCTAGCAACATGATTCAACCAGCTTGCTCCACCACTAGATGTTTAAACTGGACTGCTGTTCTATAACTTTAGTTACTAGACCATTTTTAGACTCATCAGTGTCAATGATTAATGCTTAAGAAAAATTTGGGAAGCACTTCCGCAGAGAACCCGGTAAATGTAAACATCGCCAACTTTGGCGATAATAGTTCAAATCTGGTAACCCAGCAGATTTATCCTATTCGCTTGTTCGAGTGTAACCATTCCTTTGTTCATTTGAGGATTGCACCGTCGTTGTCGCATTTGCAGAGTTATATTATTCTCTCTTATTTATTATTATTTTTTTATTTTTAACAACGAATAGATAAAATATTTTCGTAGAAGAGCCGGTCTCGGTTCGGAGAAGGAAGAAAATACGGTGGGGGGTGAATCTATTGTAACACGCTGTTACGTTGTTCTTAATTAAACTCTAAGAAACATTGTTTCCACCTCTAAAATATCGTTTTCGTAGGCCGCAAAAATGTCATGTGCATTTTAATAAGTAAGTATGCTTTTTTTTTATTATTGATTTTGTCATCTAAATTATGAGAATAAACCAATTTTTGGTGTAAATTTTAACGAGGTAAGTATTGTAATGCTTTTCTAACATAACCTTCAGAGGATGGCAGGTGTGACATAATGATGATTAAATGGAAATAAAAAATATGGATATCTAAGATGACAGGAAAGTTTACCATATCTTCAAAATCCACAAACCACTGTGGTGTAAGAATTGTTGTTTTTTTTGTGTTAAATGAATTTAAGACATTTTTTTTTTCGTTATCACGTTTAACCGTGCTTCATATATTAATACTAATGTAGTTTTTAAGGAAGTTTATTCGTTATGATCTTAAGATTGTTTATGCTTAGATTTCTTTTTATGCTACTAATTAATACGAATTTATTTTCGTATATCAGTTTAAACCGTTAGTTTTACATCAATGCTTATTATTGAATTTTCTACCATATGCTTAAATTGTTTGTTTGCTAATTTGAAGTTACAGGCTAAAATCCGTTTACAAATATAACGTTTACGGGCTCGGCTCAACGTCGCTGAACCGCGAGCTTGGCGAGTAAAAATGCAACGGCGCCAACGGGTTCTCTGCGGATGAAAACCCAAAATTTGCTTTATCTTTAGAAAAAGTATGTGGAAGAAAATTGATTAGATGAATAAAAAGCAACGCTCTCGTAGCACTATATGTATCGTATATTTTATTTCAATAATTCAATGCATGCATACTTTTTATTTGCATCAACAAATATTCCCATGTTGATACTTCTTTATTAAAGCGGCTACCACATTTATTCACCAATATTTGCAAAATTAATTGGGCCATTCTCACCAAATGCTTATATTTAATTTTTTTTAAGTGTTAATATCCTTAAAAATGAAAGCAAGTGTTATTGGTACATATTTAAGGTAAATGAAATACTAATTGGTTATGTACTTGGTCTGTAATTGGGTATGTAAATGATAATTACCATCCTAAGTAGCAAGATAATTGTCCAGTCACCATACAAAATTAATTAAATTTCTTACTGTTAAGTTTTATTAAAGCTTTCAAAGTCAAACTTTTATTTTTATTTTGAAGTGCCTTATGTCTCTTAAAGTTCAAAACAGGATATATGTCAGTAATATTTAAATAAAATTCAAATGGTCACATTTATGACCATTTTTTTACCACGCTGAAATTATTTTAAAACATTTTATAATCATATATATTCATTTAAGTTATTAAATTTTAAACAAATTATATTTGTTTCTTACCTTAAAAACCAAAGCAAAAGAATTAAGATACAAGCAAAAGAATGTAAAAAAAATATGAATATGAAAATTTCTTAAAAAGTTTAGTGGTAACTGACTTGACAAGGTAATGGAATTGACTCTTATCACTAAATGTGAAGCCTGATATTGTTTAGTTTTTAATGATATTTTTAAGTTTATGTACATTTTGTTCATTTTAGTATTTTCTTTCAACTAAAATATAATGTGACCATTTTATTGTTTCATATTCAAATGAGTTAATATATTTAATTTTAATATTGAAAAAATACTTATGAAGTACTTACACACATAAATATTAAAATAGCACTTTAAGTAACTGAGTCTTTACTATATGAAAAAATATAATGCATTTATTTATGCATGAAATAAATGTATGTCACATATCTAAATATAAACATGACTCAAATATGTATTAAGTGGAGAGAGAAACTTGTAAAATATTCTGTTTCCTCTCACTGTTAGTTTTGGTTGTGGAAGAATTGTTGTAATTTGCTCGAAATTTATGCAAATGTCATTTTCATCAATATGAAATACTCTCTTGTTGCAGTTATTTGCTTTGAGACACATAATTTTAATTTCACTCACCTCATCCATTTTGTTTTAGATCACTGCAGTATAGCATATATATATTTTTCTCCTCCTCTAACTTTCTCCAATCAAATCTGCCGAAACAAGAACACCTTCATGCATTTGAGCAGATATCTCCTCCAGAAGCATATCCTCGAGTTTTTTTAATCTGCTTGGAGAATAAAACTCACTATCAGAGTCAATATATATTTCACCTTCTCAGGAACTAGAACAGATCTTTTTTTTATGGAGAATGTTTTGTGTTTGAGGTTTTCTTTTTAGTGTAGAATGATTTTTGAAAGTAAATTTCTCTATGGGAAAGCACTGACATTCCTATAAAAGAACTTGCCTTTGGTATTAATAAATTATTTGGTGCACATTAATTGTTTCAGAAAGATCTGGTATTTCAGATGGTAAAAATTTTTGCGCTGAATAAAAGTATTATCATCAGTGAAGAAAATCTTGACAATTATTTTTCCTGAATCTTTTTGCAAAACTCACAACCATAAAAAATGTCTTCTGTATAAGATATCAAGCTATCAGCCAGTCTTTTAATTACTGCCCCTATGTCATCTGCAGCTACCTTACCAAGTATTATTCCCCTCTATTATGTTTAAAGAAACTAAATAATGAATGTATGTATGTTTCTCACATTGTGAAAAAACAACGGTACCTACAATCATCAAATTTTGAATAACATAGTCCTCCACCCGAACATGAGCAGCTGAAAGCGCATATTTGGAATCTCTTTTATTGTCTATTACTTATTTTGTAAAACTTTAATGATTTTTTTATTAAAAAATTCAACAATTTCAAAGCGAGCAGTGGTAACACTATAAGGAATAAAACATTTTTATCTCCAGTGCACAAGACTGTTTATCAAATATTCTAAAGATATGCTGTTTTTAAGTACTTTTAGCTCAAATGTTCTCGAAATGTGTATGTTTCTGTTAATGAACAATGCCCATTTGGGCATAATATGAAATCTGAAAGCTTTCTTTTTTCAGGGAGGGATCAATACTGTCAGCAGCTCCTTTACCATGGCCACCTTCAAAATATGACCATGTGCCTTCTGAAAGCCATGGTCAAGCAGCAAGTTTGAAAATATGAACACTGTCAAGGACCATCTGGGAAAAAAAATGAATGTGGGAAATCATACCGTCCAATGCTGAATGAGAATTGCCCGTTATGACGTCATCAGTATAGCATCACCCAGCGCAGTAAGAATCATCCCAGACAGCGCTGAGACCTGGTCGAGAGTGGATGGCAGGCGTGAGCAGACGGCTCACACGTCTTCAAGAGTTTATGATTCAAGAGTTTAATTGCGCTTTCGATGTTATGCCTTTACATCATTATGTTAATCCTGCATACCGTTAACTTCATCTTTATATACTTTCTTTTATTACTTTTATTTCTTTCTATTAAATAAACCATTTAAATATTACTTCGTGCTCTCATGCTGTGAATTAAGTCAAATTCTACAAAAAAATATGGCGACCAACCGTGCGGCCTCGAATTCCAAAATGTGCGAGTAGTAGAACTGTGAACTGAGTGAACTGTTGTCACAAGTTATTCGATTTATTGGATTACTCGTATAAAGTGTGGATTACCCAATTGACGACGATCATCTGTCGGGTGAGTACAAAACTTTCTTTCCAATATGAAGTTAGTAGAAATTCCAGAATTGGAAGCAGCTTTAAAGAACAGTAAAAGTTCTGAAATCAAAAGTTTGCATAAGCTTATTTTTAATACTGATGGAGATCGAAATAACCGGAAAAGATTACGTGAATTTTCTGGCTTTATATTTAAACCAGATTCTGAAGAATTTAATAAGAAAATAGATGCAGTGCAGAATAGTTTTACTTTGAATGAGTTAATTAAATTTGCAATGTACTGTGCATAAATTCAGAAGGTTTCAAAAACGGAAGTCGTAACCCGAATTGTCTCTCTTACCTATGTGATTTATCTGTATTATTTGAAAATATTTTGCATGAAGAAAATAGTGATATTGAAGATGAAACTATTAATAAAATTTCTGAAGTAATGCTTGATGATAATCAAAGAGACAATCCTGGTTTTAATGAGTCTCAAGTAAATAACAGTATGCAGCTTCCAATTCAAGATCATTTTAAACCTCATCTTAGTTTTTCTGATATTGAAAGTATTGTTAATCCTTTTTCTGGTAATGCATATGAAAATGTTGATAAATGGATTGATGAATTTGAAGATGTTATAAATTCTTTGAAATTGAGTGATTTGCATAAATTAGTTTTTGCTAAAAGATCATTAAAAGGTAAAGCGAAACTATTTATTCAGAGTGAACCTAAAGTTAATGACTGGTGTAAGTTAAAAAAGCTTTTGAAATCTGAATATGGTAAAGCTTTTAATTCTGCTGAGTTGCATGAAATGTTATGTAAACGTAAATTAATGCCTAATGAATCTTTAGATGAGTATTTTTTGAAAATGAAAGAAATGTGTTCGCGAGGTAACATTGAAGATGCTTCATTAATTAAATATGTTATTGATGGTATTCCCGATTCTGTGGTTAGGAAAAAAACTACTATATGGTTGCGAAACAATATCTGAATTTAAACAAAGGCTTAAAATTTATGATAAAATGAGATCGGACAATGATAAGTTTAAAAATCCGAAACCGAAAGTAGACACTCAAGTTAAAGATAGAAGTAAGCTTTCGTCATCAAACCGAAATCAATCTAACGTTAATAAGGTCAAATGTTTTAATTGCCAGGAATTTGGGCATTATTCTAAGCATTGTGTAAACAAATCAAAGGGTGTAAAATGTATAAAATGTAAGAAGTTCGGGCATTATTCAACGGAACTGTCCAGAGCAGACCCCCGAGACACAACAAGCAGC